CTGGTTCAAGCGCAAAGCGCCCGACCCGTCCTCCTGCTACATGCATCGTCTCAACTGGCCTGCCGACGGGCTTATGTTGGGGACTGGAATGCACGTACATACGGACGGATCGGCTTTTGAGGGCCGCTTTCGGTCCCTGGGAGTGGCGGGATGGGCGGTGGTCGTCACGGACGGGGAGGGGGTCGTCTTGTCGTGTATTTGGGGGGTGGTGCCCTTAGCTGAGGCACCCTTCCAAGCCGCCCGGGACGGCGAAGATTATGCTGTCCTCCAGCTCTGTCTCAATGCCACCCTCTTCCCCGGAGTCCGCCTCAATATTGATTGCGCGGGCACCGTGGATTGTGCTCGGGACCCCAGGTCCGCTGCAGGCCCCGATAATGCGCGGGCCCACTGGTGGGCCCAGGTGCACGACAAGCTTGACGATTGCTCTGTCTGGAAAGTCCCGTCCCATTGTACAGAGACGGACGTAATCGAAGGCCGCCTGACCTGAGCGCAGTGGCTCGGCAACAAAGCAGCGCATGAGTATGCGCGTCGCGGGGCGGAGCTGTATCGCAGTGACCCCGCCGATCGTCTCGTCATCACCGGCTGTCATGAGATTGCCAAGCAGGTGGCTAGGTACTCGGCCCGTCAGGAGGCCATGATAGCGGATGCTGGGGTGTATGACCATGTCCCGCTCGATTGGCTCCGACATGTCGACCTCGGCACATTTGAATTGCCGCCAGACGTCCTAGGGGATGATGGCGGTGGTGTGGGTGGGGCGGATGTCGGAGCGTCGTCCGTCGTCGTCGGAGGGAGCGCTACGGCTAGCGGCGAGGCGCAGGACGCTGGCGAGGTGTTATCCTCCCCCGTCCTCCCGCCGCCTCCGGGGGAAGAGGCTTGGGCCCTCCTCAGGCCTTGGAAAGCCAGAGGCCATTCCTGCATCGAAGCTCCAGTGACCTCGGCTGCTGGGGCTCCTTTGGGACCCGTAGTTTTTTGCACCACTTGCGGGTCCATCGGCCACCCTGGGAGTTCGTGGGGTCGGAGCGCTCTCGTGTCGGACTGCCTGGGGTCCCGTTCCCCAGGCCGCGAGAGGCAATTGGCTTAGATTTTGCAGGGCAAACATCCGTCCCGCAAGGAGTGCCGAGTCGGAGCAGCGTGCTCGCTATCCGACGACTCTCGCACCTTCCTGGCCTCGAAGTTAGGCCTAGGAGGGGTGCCCGAGCTTGGACCCGGCCCCGCCGTCGAGCGGATCGGGGTCGACCTCATCCGAGGCCTTGCGCTATTCGGGTTCTCTTCCCGCGCTCAGGACGAAGGGCTTGGACAGCAGGTCCTTGACAGGAGACAGCGCGAGGAGGCCGAACTCTCGGATGACGGTATTTGATTTGTTTCTTTGATGTATGTTTAATGTGGTGGCACCTTCAGCTGGTGTGGGTCTCCTCCTCCTCCTCCTCCCACTCCCCCTCCTTCCCCTCCTCCTCTTCCTCCTCCTCCTCCTCCTCCTCCTCATATATTCCTTCTTCTCCTCCTCCTCCTCCTCCTCCTCCTCCTCCTCCTCCTCCTTTCCTCCCCCTCCTTCCTCCTCCTCCTCACCTCCTCCTCCTTCTCCTCCACTCGCTCCTTCTCCTTCTCCTCCTCCTTCCTCCTCCTCCCTCCTCCTCCTCCTCCTCCTCCCGGGGTCCCCCCCCCCCCCCCCCCCCTTCCCCTTCCCCCCCTTTCCCCTCCTCCGCCTCCGCCTCCTCCTCCTCCTCGCTCCTCCTCCTCCTCCTCCTGCTCTTCCTCCTTCTCTTCCTCCTCCTTCTCCTTCTCTTCCTCTCACATCGCACCTCTAACTCTTCTCCTCTTTTTTTCCTTCTTCCTCCTCTCTTCTTCCTCCTCCCTTCCTCCTTCTCCTCCACCTCGTCCTCCTTCTCCTCCCCTCCTTGCTCTTCCTCCTCCTCCTCCTCTCCTCCTCCTCACCTTCCTTCTCCCCCGTTCCTCTCCTCCTCCTCCTCCTCCTCCTCCTCCCTCTTCCTCTTCCTCTTCCTCTTCCTCCCCCTCCTCTCCTCTTCCTCCTCCTCCTCCTTCTCGTCGTCGTCCTGCCTCCTCCTCCTCCTCCTCCTCCTCCTCCTCCTCCTCCTCCTCCTCCTCCTCATCCCCCTCCCCCTCCTCCGCCTCCGCTCCTCCTCCTCCTCCTCCTCCTCCTCCTCCTCCTCATCCTGCTCTTCCTCCCCATCCTCCTCCTCTCCTCCTCTTCACCGCCTCCTCCTCCTCCTCCTCCTCCTCCTTTTCCCTCCTCCTCCACCTCCCCCTCCCCCTCCCCCTCCTTCCACCCCTCCTCCTCTTCTCCTCCTCCTCCTTCTCCTCCTACTCCTTCTCCTCCTTCTCGCCCTAATCCTCCTATCCTCCTCCTCCTCCTCCCCCTCCTCCACCTCCTCTGCTCCTCCTCCTCACCTCCTCCTCCTTCTCCTTTTCCTCCTCCTCCTCCTCCTAACCTAACCTAATCCTCCTCCTCCTTCTCATCCTTCTCCCCCTCTCCTGCTTTCTCACTCCCGGCTGCCCTGACCGGCCGCCGCACTGGTGGCCAAGAGAGGGGGGACGACTGGGGGGGGTATCATGGCCCGAGCTATCTTCCCCGATGTCATGGCCCCCTCTTCTTATTTCGATACGTCCCTTGGCCCCCTCAGGGCCGCGCGCGTGACTCAGACCATGATCTGCGACCTCCCCTCTTGGACGCCCCCCTTTTAGACGCCCCCGATTCGGCGACTCATGCTTAGTGTGGGTGTTGCCAGTGGGTTGCATTGAAGGCACAAGCGTGTGTCTTTCAAGTGATCGTTTTCTTATTCGCTGTTTTGCCGATCGGCGCGGGCCCTCGCACCCCCCCCTTCCCGCCCAAATGGAGTAGATCTTGGCTGTTTTTGGCACCTGTTTCGAGCAGGTGGAGTCTTCCCCATAGGACGCACTGTTGCAAGCAGTCGCACTAAGCAGAGGTCCGGAGCCAGACCCCCCCCCTCCCCGTCCTTCCCGCCCAATGTCGAAACGCCGATTAAGAAAACGTTCACTTTGTTTTTCAATGGGGCAAATTGGAACAACAATTCTTCTTAAGAGACCTTGAAGAGATCCTCGTGAGGGCCCCAAGGGCCCGACACGGTCCAACAGTCCCCCAAATGATCTTAGGGGGCCCCATTTCCCTCCAAGAGGGCTCACAAGGGGCCACAGAACGGGCCCCTAGACGCCCCAGGGGGCTCCCACGAGGCCACCTAGATGCCCTCCTGTTTTTATGTTCTTCCTCTCCATTATGTTTCCTTCCTACCCCCATGGCCGCCGGTTCTGATCAGCTATCCCTCGCCTTGGCAGCCCTCTGGGCGGTCTTTGACCTCACCAGTGGCCTTGTTGAGGGACCAGAGCGACACCCAGGCCCGGAGGAGGAGGAGTAAGAGGAGGAGGAGGAGGAGGAGGAGGAGGAGGAGGAGGAGGAGAGGAGGAGGAGGAGGAGGGAGGAGGAGGGAGGAGGAGGGAGGAGGAGGGAGGAGGAGGGAGGAGGAGGAGGGAGGAGGAGGAGGAGGAGGAGGAGGAGGAGGAGAGGAGGAGGAGGAGGGGAGGAGCAGGACTAGAAGGAGGAGGAGGAGTAGGAGGAGGAGGAGGAGGAGGAGGAGGAGGAGGAGGAGATTTGACACGACCAGCGGGCGGGCGGCCCCAAGGCGCCCACTGAGATCCAGGGCTGCCTTTGCACGCTCCTGGGCCGTCCCAGGCCCCGCGAGTGACCCTTCGCAGGGCACAGAACACACTGTGGAGAAGAACACACACACAGACACAGACACGGACACGGACACAGACACAGACACAGACACAGACACACACACACACACACACACATTCATACACACACACACATTCACACACACACACACACACGCACACACACGCGCACGCACACACACACACAGACACACACACACACACACGCGCACGCAAACACGCACACACGCACACACACACACACGCACACACACACACACGCACGCACACGCACATTCACACACACACACACACCCACGCACACGCACAGTCACACACACACACACACGCATTCACACACAGCAGAAAAACATACAGAGGGCGCCCACACCCGACACTGATTTGGCACCGCCCACTTCCTTCAGGGAGAGGCCTCGTCGGGCCGGCCCTGTGTCGAAGTTGCTTCGGTGTTCGGCGTCCCGAGCTGGCCCCGCCAGAGCCCTAAGGGGATCGCTGGTGAGCACCTTGGGCAGCGTCGGCAGCATCGCAGGCCGTCTTGGGCACCTACAGTTGCCTTCTACCTCCCCTCTCCCTTCCTTTCTTCGTGACTCCTCTTCGCCTCATGCATCGTCTCTCCTCCCTTGCTCCTGTTCTCCGCCCTCTCCCAGCCCCCTGCGTCTTGCCCTGTCTCCTCCCTCTCCCCCTTTCTTCTGTTCTCCTCTCTCCTGCCTCTCCCTGCCCTTCTGTCCTCCCCTCCTCCTTCCCCCCGCCCTTATTCAAGAGCTTCTGCCCCATCGCTCTCACTTCTCTTCCCCCCCCCTTCTCCGTGATTCCATCCCTTGGCCCCGCCCTCTCCAAACGGACAACATGCGAACCAACATGGGGTGCCTTTCTTCTTTACCCCTCCTGACCTCTATCTTTATTGCAAACTATGCCCACCTGTGGTCCAAGGTCGGAGTTTGTCGCTTTGTCCAGTTCACAACGTGGAAGCCCAGAAGTCTCGACCCGCGCTCCTCTCCAGGTCCGGTTTTTCACGCCGAGTAGTTTTCGACGGTTCCCGGTACGGGCCCTCCGGATGGAAATCCCTGGAGACATGCCGTCGCATTTTGCCACCGCGACGCAAAGGAGGTCGGGGAAGGAGTTCAAATACGGCTGGGGCGTTCGTTAAGGAATGCGCCCAGGGGGCTTCAGACCCTGGGGGGGTCCTTACCGGATGAGGGCGGGAGGAGTCCCACTGGCTTCCAGACCCTGGATTCTTGATAGGAGGTTTCCTTCTCCAACGCCCCCACCGCACCGCCCCCCGCCCCCAGTGGACGGAGAAGTGCCCCCGCGACCCGAGCGACCCAGACTTCGCGTTCCGCTTCGTCGGCGTGCAGGTGCAGGACGGCGTGGACGAGGGGAGCGGGTGCTCGGTGAGCGAGCACCTGAGGCGGGCGGCGGGCGCACTGCAAACCGCCGCCTCCTCGCAGGAGCCTCGGGATCAGCAGCATGACCACGGCTCCACGTTCGCAACCGCCACCGCGCAACGCACAGTGGGCATTCTTCGGGGTAGGCTCGCGGGCGGGAGGCGTCCCACGCAAGCTGCACACGATGTTTCTGTCGACGGCCCGCATGCCTTGCGGTCAGCGGCTGCGGCTCCCGTCGACCCCACTCGGAGTCGCCCAGACCCCACCCCCCGCGTCGTGAGTGGTCTGCTACGGGAGCTCGGTTGTGGTAGCTTTCGGCATCGGCCCTTGTCGGGCCCCTGGGAGCGTCAGCGCACAAATCGGGATGAGAAGCCGGCCGTGGGGAAGTGGTCGGGATCTCCCCGTTGTCCACGTCCTGCACGGAGGAGGTGTGAGGCACAGGACGAAGATGAGACGGTGCGATCTTGGGGGCCTCTTGGGCTGTCTTTGCGCTTCCGAGCTCGAGTTCACGAGAACGCTCAAGCACTGAAACATGCGAGCTGAGGGCGCGCTGTCCTTGGATGCAAGCTCGGGGCCTGTGTCCCTTGAGCCGCAGGCTCTCTCAGCTCACCGCCAAGATGATCTTGACGGCGAGTTGAGTGAGCCTGCGGGATCCCAGAGGACGCGAAGTGCGGCGTCACTCCTGTGCCGAGCTGGGCCCCGGGCTGGCAGGCCCCGGGAGCCTCTACAGGCTGCGCGCGAGGCCCGGAGGGCTCTCGGGCGCGGCAGTTTCGAGCCGGGTCGCACGGGAGGCGCCTGGAACGATCCCGAGACGCGTCACGGTGTGGACAGGGCCGCGCCCCCCCAGAGATCCGAGGATATATGATCGCGGGCTCCGGGCCCACGGGCCCCCCCCCAGATGATGGGATGGGTCCCAGGGTCCTCGGGCCCCCCCCCCCAGATGGGATGGGGGAGGAGGAGGAGGAGGAGGAGGAGGAGGAGGAGGAGGAGGAGGAGGAGGAGGGGAGGAGGAGAGGAGGAGGAGGAGGAGGGAGGAGGAGGAGGAGGAGGAGGAGGAGGAGGAGGAGGAGGGAGGAGGAGGAGGAGGAGGAGGAGGAGGAGGAGGAGGAGGAGGAGGAGGAGGAGGAGAGGGAGGAGGAGAGGAGGAGGAGGAGGAGAGGAGGAGGAGGAGGAGGAGGAGGAGGAGGAGGAGGAGGAGGGGAGGAGAGAGGAGGAGGAGGAGGAGGAGGAGGAGGAGGGGAGGAGGAGGAGGAGGAGGAGGAGGAGAGGAGGAGGAGGAGGAGGAGGAGGAGGAGGAGGAGGAGTGAGGAGGAGCAGGAGGAGGAGGAGGAGGAGGAGGAGGAGGGAGGAGGAGGAGGAGAGGAGGAGGGGAGAGGAGGAGGAGGAGGGAGGAGGAGGAGAGGAGGAGGAGGAGAGGAGGAGGAGGAGGAGGAGGAGGAGGAGGAGGAGAGGAGGAGAGGGAGGAGGAGGAGGAGGAGGAGGAGGAGGAGGAGGAGGAGGAGGAGGAGAAGGAGGAGGAGGAGGAGGAGGAGGAGGAGGCGGAGGCGGAGGAGGCGGAGGAGGAGGACGACGACGACGGCGACGACGACGACGACGGCGGTTTTTCCCGGATTTCGGCCTCACGATCCCGTTGTCGGGCCCGGGGACCAGCAAACATGGATCCGCGACGAGAATCCACCCCAATGGGGAAGGGCAGGGGTCGACCTAAACGGTGTTTGGGCGATTTCCTGGGCCGTGTTCGTTTCGATTTCGTCTTGCAGCAAAGGCGGACTGAAGTCAGAACGAGGGAAAGCGAAAACACAACGAAAACGAAACACATTGTTGAGGGCGATCCCCGGGGAGGAAGGGGTCGGGACCTCGCGGGCCGCGGAGTGAAGAGGTCATGTCGGCGGATGTCTAGGCCACCGCCCAGGCTCGGGTGGGTGCATGCGGGGTGGACGTTGGAGCGGTCCTGGGGGCGCAGCACTGCCGGGACCCTGGGAGCGCACCGTCCTCGAGCGGGCGCGGAACACAGAAGACGCACACGATCAGAAGTCTTGCTGTTAGCGCTCTTGGGGAGCAGTCTTTAAGGGTCCCAAGGGTCGATCTTTGAGGGCCCTCGTTGGTCCTTGAGGGTTCCAAGGCCTGGTAAGGTAATGCTTGAGTCTTTGTCGACATTTGAGTGTGCTGAGGTGCCCCAGCGCTTCTGTAGATCCCTGGGGCTGCTCCGTCGGGGGATGCGACGCTCCTCTGGGGCACCTGCTGGCAGACGGACCTCCTCTGCGCTGTGCCTACTGTGGATCGGGGCTTCGGGATCTGATCCCAGATCCTCCAGGACTGGAGCCCGGTGATCCCCCCAGGGAGAGCTTCCGTGCCTGCTTTGGTTCGAGTGCTCCGCTAGCGCAGGCGGGCGACCGCCGCCCGACGCCCCGTTGCACAGAAGCGCCTCGCACCGGCCCCCATCGGATGGCCACCCCATTCTCTCCGCAGTCGGCGGCGAGCCCAGGGGGGAAGCGAGAGGGGGCAGGCCTTCTCAGCAGGCGTCCAGGGCTTTTCAGAAGCCCACAGGCCGTCTGGCAAGTTGCCCAAGCCCTCTCCGAACACAGAGACGATCTCTCAGATAGCCAGACGGTTTCTCAGAAGGCCGAGGGGCTTCTGAGAAGACCTGCCGCCTCCTGAGAAGGCCTGCCCCCTCTCGCTTCTCTCCTGCGATCGCCGCACGCATCACTGATTGAATCCGATGGAGACCGGAAAAGACGCCTCATGCATGAGGCGTCTTTTCCGGTCTCCATGCGACGAGCCCGATGGGCGGCAGTCCCACGACGGCCAGCATATGCGAGATACGGGGGTGTCGAAGTCGCCTCCGACGAGTCACCACCGCCCCATGCCTTGGGAGACGCCTGCGTGGTGAAATGTCAGCCGGGAGTCCCGCCATGCTGGTGGATTGTGTGTTATCTCAGTCGTTTGGGGGAATCACTGGGGCTGAGGGCTGGGGGCTTGGGCCGCCTTGTAGGCGCTTTTGTCAGGTCTTCTCCTCGGGCCCTTGTGGCTGTTTTGAGCCGTCTTACGGCGCTCTCGGGCGGCGTGTCGCCTCTTCGGAGGCTGTCTTGGGGGCCTCTCCGGGCCGTGTTGGAGCTCTGTTGGGGCCCTGTTCTTCTTTGGGCCGTGTTGGAGTTCGTGGGGCCCTCTTACCACGGGGACCTCTTGGGCCGACCCGCGCCAACCTTAGACCGTCCTGAGGATCTTCTGGGCCGTCTTCGGGTGATCATCGGGGCGGCTTTGGCCGTCTTCGGCGCGATCACGACCGAATATGGATAAACAAAGAAGCATTGCTGAAACACCTTTCTGTAACATCAATGATTTGTGGACCTCTTGGAGCCTCCTTGAGCGTCTCATGGGCCTGTCGGGTCGTCTTGAGGCCACGCTGGACCGTCTTGGGCCATCTTGAAGTCATCTGGCCACGTGGGCCAGTTGGGGTCGGCTTGATGGCGATCCAGCCATATCCAGCCCTCTTAGACCCTCTTGCGGCCATCTTGGGCGGACAAGCCCATGGGGTCCGTCTTTTCCAGGTGGCGGGTCGGCCCCAAGACCACGTGAACTTCTTGGAAGGGCCAGACTGCGTTTTAGAAGTCTAACCCCCCGTCCAAGCCTTTGGCACGCACATGGGGGCGGCGGATCTGGTGGCCTCCAGTCGCTCCCGCCACTGAGCCTGGGTCTTGGACCAGAGGCCTCTCTGAGCCCTCTCGGGGTCTCGTCGGGAGAACCCCGTGCGGCCCTCTGAGCCGCCTCCTGGGGGCCTCTGGAGGCCTTCCTGGCGTCTCTGGGGGGCCTCCGGGGGCGTGTTGGGCACCTCTTGGAGGCCTGCCGGCGGTCTCGGAAGGCATTTTCGGGGGGAGGACTCCACAGTTCAGTCTGAAGTCCTCCTTTGGGACGTCTTTTTGGAGCGTCTTGGGGTATCTGGGGCCCCTCTCGGGGTCCTCGGTGGCCGTTCGGCGGTCTTGGGGGCACCTGGGGCCGTCGTGCAAAAGGCAGCGCGTTCTTCCGCACAGGCCCCCCTTCTCCTCCCCCTTCTCTGCGTAATTCGAGCTCTGCGCGGCCCGCTTTGCTTCGGCCGGAGGAGGTGCGCTCTCGACCCGCGAATCAAAAAGCTCTTCCACACAGTGCTTGCCCTCAGGGGCTCGTTCGTCTTGTCCTCACGCAGTGGCCTGGGTCCGCCAGGGTCTCGCCTGGCGGGCGGCCGCGGGCGCCCTGCGGGCGCCCACTTGCCTGCCGACTACAGTCAGAGACCCTAATGAGGACGCGCGGCTCTGCTCAGGGTGCCCCTGCGTCCTCCTCCTCCTCCTCCTCCTCCTCCTTTTCGCCGTCCGCCGCCCCAGAGATCCCAACTTCGGCTTCCAAGGGTCCTGCGTCCTTCCCGCGCGTCGTGAGTAGGGTTTTTCACTGTACGTCCGCCGAGGTCTCGCCCGCTGGGCGCCCGTGGACGCCTCGTGGGCGCCCCGTGCACTGGCCACGTCCGCCGGGGTCTCGCCCGGTGGGCGCCCGGTGCGTGCCTCGTGGGCGCCCTGTGCGCTGGCCGAGTCCGCCGAGGCTGCGCCGAGTGGGCGCCCGCGGGAGCGTCGGGGGCGTCCCCGGCCCGCCGAGGTCTCTCACCTGGTGGGCGCCTAGGGGCGCCAACGTGGGCTCCGCTGCAGGTTTCAATGGTTGGGAACCACTGACGAGCAAAAACGCAGGAAAGCAAAAATATCATGCTTCGCAATTTTGTTTTTTTGCTGGGCGGATTTTGATTCGCCGCGCGCCCCGCGTCGGGGAAAAGCGCGGTGCCCGCACAATGCGCGGCGACATGCGGGGAGGTTGTGCGATGGCAGGCGTCTGTTAACGCACAGTAGTTGAAAACCGCGATCACCTTAGACGGCCAAAGATGGCCCCGTGGGGCCTCCCAAGACTGCTCCACGTGGCTTGCCCCACATGTCTTGCACCACAGCTTGCATCGCATACACATGCTGACATTTACGTGTAGCCTCTCTCTCTCTCTATACATACATACATACATACATGCACACACAATGAGTACAACTAAACTGATATCTACATACATCAGTACATACGTGCATACAGGAATGCATACATGAATAACTAACGACAGAACAACAGTTTGCATCCCATAGCTTGTACCGCACATGCTGCAGCACAGGTCTTGTGCATTACCTGCACTATGTAGGTTGCACCAACCAAACTAAGAAAGAGGTTGTGTTGTGTTGAAGGCCCGCCCTGTTTCAGTGACTTGTCTTTCCAGCCGCGGTTTTGGAACACCCCTTGCGTCGCGGCTCTCGTCCTCCTCCTTCTCCTCCTTTAGGCGTCCTGGTGGCTTCTTCGCCAATCAGCGCCTACACTGAAGGTGTCCTGCCCGAGGCTGGCGGGCCGATTTCGGGGGGCGGCTGGGTTCCCAGGTTCCCAGTTTCCGGGTCTTGGTCGCAGAAATTGGCGGCAGTCGCGGGCCGATTCCAGCGGGCGGTTGGGTTCTCGGCTTCTCGGACTCGGCAAGCAGTCAATGCGAGCAAGCATGGTACCTGCGAGAATGTACGAAGATCCGCGGGCTGGGACCTTCCCTGGGTGTAACCACGCCGGATTGCACAACAACGTGCGGGGGGGATCATATTTGGGCGGTGGGCTGGTTTCAGCTACCTTGGGGAGGGTGCGGGGGACTCTGGGCGAAAGGCCGCCCGTTCATGGCTTGTCTGGGGGGGTGTCCTGAAGTCGCTCGTCTGGGAGGGTCGTGACCCGCCCCCGCTTTTTTTATCGTGGAGTCCGTCTGTGGCTCCGTGCTGGCAGCGGGGCCCGAGTGCCCCGCGCACGCTTGCGCCCCGCCCGTGGTTGGCTCATTGATCACGCGACCCCGCCGACGATAAGCACCCCGCCCAGTGAGTCTGAGAGGGGGTCCCCTCCCACCGTAGGGGAACGATCAGCGGCATAAACATAACAACTCGTTGGAGGTCCCGCGGACTTCTCGGATCCGCGCCGGGGCCCCCTGGCGGCGCCTCTGGCGCCGCCCCTGGCGCTCTCCGCGGGCCAGGGAGGGGGGTCCAGCGCGGGTCCGAGAAATCCGCGCGGACCTCCGAGTTGTTATGTTTATGGCATTGTTCGTTCCCCTACACTGTCATCAAAGATGCTAGGAGCCATCGCCAGCGACAGACAATCTGTGTTGACAGGTGGGCTCCCACAGTCACATGGTCCTCGCGCCCATCCCTATGTCTGGTCTCTCCACGCCCGTTGACAGCGGGCCCATCATCAAAAAGAGGATTTGGCACCGGCACCGCCAATACTCTCCCAGCCTTCGAAAATGCACATATGAGAGTGTGGCCCCACTGTTAACCAGGCGGGCGGCGGCCAGCATCTTCCTGTTGGCATCGGCCCCCCACTGTCAAAGTGCCCGAGACACTGGCAGGGGAAATATGTATTTGGCCATTGATCCCTATATACTGTCCAGATGGAAATTCGGCCGCCTCCCTTCCAATTCCCGATCTAGAGTCCAGTTGGGTGGGGGCTATGTTTATCCTCCCCTTTCCCGGGACCTTTTTTTTGATTCCGAGTTGTTGCCCTCAGAGGCTGGAAATCAATCGAAAGGCGAGGGGATGGAGGAGCAAGAAAAGTATGTGATCTCCGCACTCGCCCCCTGAACGCAGCTCGACGACGACGAACGACGACGACGACGCACGACCACGCGTCGACGGCGGAAGCGGCGTCGGCGACGGCGACGGCGGCGGCGATGTCGACGGCGTCGAGCGTGCCCTCCCGTAAGCTCCCCGCTGCCCGCGAGGTGTTCGGAGACGTCCTGGATCGTGGTTCGCAGCAGGACGCGAGGGAACGCTGGGCGGGGCTGCATCCACGAGCAGTGGGCGGCCGTGCATGCGCGAGCGCGTCTGCACGCAGACCTGCCAGGCTCTTCCCCCTTCGGCCTCCCGGGCTTCTTCCGTGGCCGCTTCATCTTGGAGCGGTCTGGAGGAGGAGGAGGAGGAGGAGGAGGAGGAGGAGAAGAAGGAGGAGGAGGGGGAAGAAGAGGAGGAGGAGGAGGAGAACAGGACAGGACAGGACATCCGCATGAGGAGGTCGGCGTCAATGTGCCCGCTGAGGTGCAGTGCAGAGCGTAGGCGTAACTCCCCTGCGTGAGCGTTTATGCAGCAAGGACTCGACGGCCCTTCGACATCTTATCGGGGGAACTGCCAAGGCCTGCGCAGAGGCGTGCACGCTGCCCTCCTCCCCCCGAGCCCTCGCCTCCCCCCCCTCCTCCACCACAGGCGAGCGTGCGGCCCGCTCGCAGGGAGAGCCCTATATTCCGAGCCAGCAGCTCTCCGAGGAGCCCAAGGGGTGCGGCACCGCTGGCACTGTGCTGCCAATGGCGCGTGCGAGCGGGCCTGCACAAGAAGGAGGGTTTCCTGAGCACCTCTCTAATTCGCGAGGCAAAGTCCTCTATCCTGCGGAGAGAGGGGGGGGGCGCCATGCACTCCGAGATGCCCTCGCTGGTGCGATCGGCGCTCCCTGCGCCAAGACATAGGCTTTCCCCCGCGCCAAACGCGCTCAGACATGCACGGCCCCTGCTCTGGCTTGCTTCACCTCGCGCCGGCTCGCCTGTCATTTCGTCTTGTCGTCTCCTGCAAGGTCACACTCAATAACTGAGAACATCTGGGAAAACATGCGGCACATGCTGAAGATTCGCACGACATCTCCGTCCAAATAAATATGTGGCTGCGTATGTGTACTTGTCTCCAATTTAGGTGTGCAAATTGGCCTGCGCTTGAATCTTCACGGGGCGGCAGTTGCGTACTTGTCTCCCAACCTGGCAAAGACTCCAATGCTTTCCCATTCCGAAAGAGCGTATTCCACCTCTGGTAAAGTGCGGACTGTGCCGCTGTTGGCCAAGTGGTGCTGTAATTCATCCGCAGATGGCCAGTATTGTTCCACATAATGTCATAGATGCCGTCTAAAGTTCGTCTGTTGCGCTTCCGCATCCGCTCTTCGACGACGAGCCCTTCAACAGCTGTGTCTTTATCCACTAACATGTCAGAGAGAGCCCCCGCTGGGAAATTTTGCCGGTCCCTTTGCCTCAGTTTCCTACTCCTTCTCCACCTCCTCCGCATCTGCACAATCCCTTTGTGAAGCAAACATTTTTTGTATTTCAATAAATTCTCTAATTGACATACCCCCTTCCGCGCGCAGTGTTTGCAAGACGCCCGTAGTGATTCCTTCGTGGGTCGCTGTACAACTGAAGAATCCCAGAAGCGTTGCGATCTCAGGGTCGTCATTGATGAGCATGGGTTTTCGAAGTTCGTCATCGGCACCAGTCGGTTGCCTCTGAACCTCGGGGCCTTCATCTTCCCAGACCTCCTTCGCTCTCCGGCGAACGAACGAGTCGATCTCCTGGGACAACAGTTCCAAATCATTGGGTTGGCCTCCATCTTTCCAGACCTCTTTCTCGTCCGTCTCACCGCGGGAGTCCATGGGCTTTCGAGGTTCTTCCAACTTCATCCTCCGGCGAACAAACGAGTGCAAAGCTGGGCCGATCGGGCTCCATTGATTCAGTTGTGCTTCGATCTCTTGGGACAGCATCTCCACGCACTTTGGTTCGGGTATGGGTTTTCGAAGTTCGTCATCGGCATCCACTGGCTGCTTCCGAACTTCGGGGCTTCCAACTTCCCTCGGACTTGAGTCGTCCAACTTTGCTCGCCGGCGTACAAACGAGTGCGAAGCAAGGCCGATCGACTTCCATCTGCGCAGTTAGTCTTCCGACTCGTGGAACAGCTGTGTCAAACGACTGGACTCGCTTGTAGTAGGGGCAGGCTGCTCCTGGGCCCGAGCGGGCTTAGGTCCTGAGGGGAGCCGAGGCTGCTCTGCAAGCTCCCCTGGTAGCTCAGATGCGGCACAAGAAACGTCCATTACTGGATCACGACCCAGTCGCTCTACAGAGGATCGCAAAGAGGTGCGGTATCGGAAGGGCTGCAGGGATTGTTATGTCTTGTTGTTCCTCCTTCTCCCCTGGCCCCGGCAGAACAACCTGTGTGGCTGCCAGAGTCCGTAAGTCGTGTGAGGGGTAATTGAAAATCTTTCTTCCGTCGGGGCTCAATGTGCCTGAGCTCCAACGCCGACTAGGAGGAGGAGGAGGAGGAGGAGGAGGAGGAGGAGGAGGAGGAGGAGGAGGAGGAGGAGGAGGAGGAGGAGGAGGAGGAGGAGGGGGAAGAGGACGAGGAGGATGAGGAGGAGGAAGAGGAAGAGGATGAGGAGGAGGTGGAGGAGGAGGAGGAGGAGGAGCAGGGAACTCCCTCGCCGTCAGAGGCTGGACGCGGCTCGAACAACAGGTCGGTCTCGGCCCCATGGGCGGGTTTGCATTGGTACCCCCTCGCGGCCGACTTTCTTCGAAGAAGAAACGCCGTAAACATGAACTGTTGGAAAATCCGCGCGGAGCGCCAAAAGTTTATGTTTATGTATGCAGTTGTTTCTTCTGTACTTTAGTAGTACTTTCGTGTATGCCATCATGTTTGGTTATGCCACTATGCACGCTTATGTTTATGGCGACCATCTGTTTTATGCTCATGCCAGTCTTCATGCTTATGCCGTTGTAACCCCTCCTTCCGGCCGACTTCCCTCGGGGCCCGCCCAGCGCAGACCCCCCAGGCCGCTTCCAGGCGCCGTCCACGGCGCCACGGTGCAGCCCGAGTGGGCTCGCCCCCGTGCACACCTGCCTCGCGACATGGGGTACCACCTCGCTCCGCGTCTCCGCCTGGCCCGCCTGGAGACGATGCCCGGGCGAGTTGCACGGATCGGGGATGTGCAGGAGCAGTGAGCGGCACAGCGAGGGGGGGGGAGGGCCCGAGGGGGGCAGCCGTCAAACCGAAGCGTCGGCTTGTCCCAATGCGAGGCTCAGCCTTATGTCGGGCGTGTCCCCCTACAGGGGGTTTTTCGATGAAAAATAAGAAATACCCCCAAAGTACCCCAAAAAGGTCGAACAATACCCCAAACATAGTACCCAGACTATGTTTGGACCATCTTTTGATCTTTTTGTGCATGTTCTATGTTTCGTCGAACATCCACATGTAGGGGGACAGGCCCGACTCAAGCTCAGCCCAGCCAGGAGTCTCGTCATCGCTTCGCCCTGCCCTCCGCGGCTGGCCAGGGGCGCCCGCCGCTACAGGCTGCTGAACTCGCCACCGGCACTCCGTCCACGAGCAGGGAGGGAAGCGCCACGGCGTGGGGGAGGGAGGGGTAATGAACCCTCCCCCTGGAGGAGACGAGGGCACCCTGTGGGAAGAGCTGGCAAGTTCGGCCATCTTCGCCCAGACTTGGCATCGCTCGGACGTGTGCATTTCCCCTCGGCGAGGACCATCGAGGAGCACAAAACCAACAAAAAAACACAGGTAATGGACGTCCGAGCGATGGCCAGCACAGGGCCGATGGACTTAGCATCATGTCGGGCATGTCCCTCTACAGGAGGTACACATTCAAACATAGAAAAAATAGTCTGGGGACGAATGTTCGGCCATTCTTGTCTGTGTTGGAACATTGTTGGGTTATGTTTTTGATGTTCTTCCAGCATCCGCCTGTTCGAGGTTACGCCCGACCTAACCTTCGCATGGCCGTGCCGTCATTTGCTCGAAGCGCCTGCGCGCGAGGCAGAGGGCAGGCCCGTAACCGTCCTGACAGATCTTCCGCGTGTCATTGCGCCAGCGTCGCAGAGCGGATTTCGTTGAGGAAACAACGGGATGTGCCCGTATTGTTTTGGAGGATTTCATGTCGGATTTCGAGGTGCATTTCGTGCGGGTATGGTTTTGGGCCAGGGCTGAAGACCACAAACATCTACGTGACATTCATTTCGTTTTTCGCTCGCCGTTTCGGGGCTTAGCATTGACAGAATTCCACGCTAGAATCCGCTGCAGCACTTCTGCAAGGTCGGTGCAGTGACTCGCGGCCAAACCATGCTTCAACTCGCCCTGTCCGTAGTTTTCTGATGGCTGCCAAGTGCGGGCAAAGGACTGGTGCAGAGAAGTCTCTGTCACCACCTGCGGGGCCATCCAGAGCGCCTCTCCCTGGTGGCACAGGCGGCAGCCGAAGTGCCAAGTCGCCCGCGCGGGGTGCGGAGGTGGCCGTGCTTCGCACAATCGGTGGCTCTCGCCGAAGAGCTGGCTGCCCTTCTACACGGGCACGGGGGGCGGTGCGCGAGCGCGAGAATGGTCGCTCGTCGCACGGCGCGGAGCGCGCGAAGTCGGTCCACCCGGGGCTATGATGAAATCGGACAGGTCCCTTTACAGGAGGAATGTCCAATAGTAGTGAGAATATAGTCTGGGGACGGTTTTGCGTGCTCCGTTTTCGATTTTATGATGTGTTTTGGCTACTTTTATTTTTCTGTCAAAAATCGCCTGTACAGGGACATGCCCGACCTAAGACTAAGATTAGACCGCGGCCCTTCTTCCGTCGCCGCGGCAGGCTTCGCCTTGCAATTCTGGTCCGGATGCGACCCCCGAGAGGTCCGGGGAGGTATCAGCACTTCTGCGTATAATGGAGCAGGTATTCCTCTTCCTATATTTTTATAAGCCCGGGCGGGGGGAAAACCCGTCCCCCCCCCAAAAAAAAATCGGACTCCCGGGACCTGGGGCTTTGGGGCCCTCCAGACGGGCCTCGAAGCGGCCACCGGGCCTCGCAAGGCGTTTTGCCAAGCCTTTCCAGCACACTTAGGGCGATCAGGGGGGTCATCGGAGACGTCCCAGAGACCCCCAAGACAGCACAAGAGCGCTCCAATAGTGACCGACGTGACCTCAAGATGGCCCAAGAGGCCCCCAGGACGGCCCCAACGAGGCCTCCAAGAGCACTCCCAAGAAGGCCCCCCGAGGCAAAAATCATCGATTGTCTTTGGGTTTGGGGTGAATTTTTGGGTTCTCCTCTTTTCGGCTTCCCGACGCTCCAAGACGGCGGTCTTCTGGGCGTCCGAAGCCGCCTGGGAGGCTTCCAAATCGCCCCACAACCATCCGAAAGGGCTTCCAGGCAGTCCAAGAGACCCCAAAACGGCACAACACGGGTCCAAGATGGCCCTCAGAGAGCCCCATGGCGGCCCAAGATGGCCCAAAGACACCCTCCGAAGAATTCCAAATATTGATTCGGTCGTTCAGGGAGACGGCGGTTGGAGGCAAGGTGGCCCGAGGAAGCTCCCGGAGGCCCCCAGTATACGCCCAGGAGGCCTCCAGAAGGCCTTAAGAACGACCGAAACAATTTTTGTGAGGCCCCTAGAGGCTCTCCAAGGAGGAGCCTCCGCAAAAAAGAGCTGAGGAGGATGGGGATAATGCGCAGGGTATGGCGAAAATAAGGAACAATAAGCACGGAGGAAGGATGACGAATAACATCATTATAGCGGCGACGCCGGAAAAGGCAACCAGGACTTACCGCTAAATTGTCGGCTTGACCAAACCCTGCCATTCCGCCTGCATTCCAAACTTCAAGGACCAAGGTGCATGGCGCGAAGCGCCACTGCAGTCTTGTATATGTATGTATGCGTGTATATATAGATGTATGTATTGCCAGTGGCGGGCTGCTTTTCAATCTCAGGACTCTTTGAGGGTCAGGGACGACGTCTGGGTGGTGTGGTGTATACTTGTTTTACCCGCTTCCCCAGGGAAACCGCGAACAATGTATACACCAGGATCCCGTAGACACCAGGATCCGCCTTCCTGTACGAGTTTCAGTGCGGGGCCAGAAAAAGCGTCGGTGTATAGAGTTCGGCTCCTGAAGTATTTTTTGGCCGCCCCAGGATTAGGTCGAGCATGCCCTCCTTCAGGCGCATTGTCGAGGAAATGTTTACAATAGTAAAAGAAAATTTGGAAATTGTCAAACATAGTCGATCAAATCGTCTCCAGACTTTTTTTGACTATTTTTTGAATATTCCTCCTGTAGAGGGACAGGCCCGATTTAATCCTGGGAATACAAGCAGGGTCGCCTACTATCCGATGCGATTCGCCGGCTGGGGCCGCGATCTCGATCCGCGTCGAGTTGGTTTGTTTCGCCGGCCTCGGCCGAGGCCAGCCGGAGCCGGGCTCGGCGATCCGATGTCGATTTGATGCGGGGATCCGGTCCGAGTTCGCGATCCGATCCAGCTCTGGTCTGATTGTACAGCCGGGGCGCTGAAGAAGGACCCCTTTCCGTTTGGGGGGGCTCCGTGTTCCTTAGAGCTGTTGTTGTTTGCCTTAGGTTGACCTTTGGTTTTCGATCGGAAATCGAAGTTCAGCTTGAGGAAACGAGGGGCCTCGTTCCTTGTTTATCGTTCCTCAGGTCAACGCCCCGACTGTAAGCGTTCGGAGCTTTCATCGGTCCTCGCTGTCGTGTGCCTGGGGGGCACCAAAACGCTCGCGAGCCCGAGGACCGATACGGAGGACCACCACCTCAGCGTGGCGTTCGCCTACGACACCAGGGGCTCCACGAGGCGGGGGCTGCCCGTTGGGTTGCTGCTTCTTGACGCCTGTCTCAGAGCCCCGAATCATCAGGGGTAACTCGGGTCAGGGATAACTCGGGTTCGTTTTTCGGGAATCCAAACCCGAGTTACCCCGGACCCGAGTTACCCCGGATAACTCGGGCGTCCAGAGCCCCGAATCATCAGGGGTAACTCGGGTCAGGGATAACTCGGGTTCCGTTCTCGGGAATCCAAACCCGAGTTACCCCGGACCCGAGTTACCCCGGATAACTCGGGCGCCCAAGCCTGTCGTGTGGCGGGGAGCCGGCGAGAACGGTGCAGGGTTGTGTGCGTAGGGTCAGGTCGGGCATGTCGGGTCGGGCATGTCCTTCTACAGGAGGAATGTTCGAAAGGGGTTCAAAGATAGTCTGGTGAGGATGCGTCTTATATTTCTGGCTATTTTTGAAAATGTTGAACTATTTTTGAGTTTTCGTCAAAAATTCCCCCGTGGGAGGACAGGCCCGACTTAAGCGTAGGGACTGGAGATGATCTCCAAACAATTGTGAACCCCACCCCTGTGGGGTCCACGCGATGCTGGGGCGTCGGGCACCCCCGCCGGGGTTCACTCAGCTGCAGGCATTTGGAATTCATTATCCCGGCCCGCGTTTCCGTAACCTGACCTGCCAGGGCAGGGTTCACACGTGGCTTCCCAAACGAGCGAGGGTCATTTCTCTGGAGGTAGGGAATGAGTATGGTATAAAGGGGCGTGGTGCAAATTGCATGTAAAGGGGAATATTGCGATGTTGTCCATCGCAGATAGCATCGCCATTTCCACGACTGGCACCATACCCCTTTGAGCCATACCCCTTTCTGACCTCCAGATTTTCCGGCAGCGCGCACGTGTGGAACAGCCGAGCGCGCCGTGCTGGTGCCCGTCTCTGTGGGCATCGCCCCGGCAGGCGCAGCGAGGACTTCCGTCCAGGCTGCCGTGCTGCCTGTTGAGAGTGTTGGTTGCGGGCGTGCTGTGGTTCCGCGCGGGGCCGGCCCGCGAGGTTGGAGGCGGAGCTGAGCATCGGCCAGACGTGGTTCATCTGCCTCTGTGTGGCCATAGGGGCCATGTCCTTCAACAAGGACGCCAACGAGCTGCTCCTGAAGCCCATCGAGCGCATGATCACCAAGATGGAGAGCATCAAGGACAATCCGCTGGAGGCCGTGCGGCTCGGAGTCGGAGACCAAGCATGCTGGCTCCGATGTATACCCACCCGACAAGAGCGTCAGCGATCTGTCAGAAACATTCGTCTGGTCAGAGCCCCTTGCGCCCCCAGGACCCCCAGGACCTGCGGGTAACGGGTACGGGCCATCTCGAAAATTAGTGGGAGCAGGAGGAAGAGGATGATGATGATGATGATGATGATGATGATGATGAGGAGGAGGAGGAGGAGGAGGAGGAGGAGGAGGAGGAGGAGGAGTTGGAGGATGGATGAGGAGAAGGAGGAGGAGAAATAGGAGGAGGAGGAGGAGGAGCAGGAGGAGGAGGAGGAGGAAGAAGTACGTAAAAGAAGAAGAAGAAGCCAAATGAGGAGGAGGAGGAGGAGGAGGAGGCGGAATTGGAGGAGGATGGAGGAGGAGCAGGAAGAACAGGTGAACGTGTGGCGTGTCGCTGAAGATCCCGCGCGCCTCCCGACAGCGCTCGACCTCACCCGCCTGCCGCAAGTATCTCGCTGGGTCGCGGTGGCCTTCCAGGGTTTCGAGCAATCGGGGTGGGGTGGTTCATCGGTGGCCCTGCCGCCGCCCCGATCTGGTCCTGTCCCGTGAAGGCGGCTTCGGCGCGCGGTGGTGCGCTGCGGGGGCGCGGGCGCGGTCGATGCCGCGCCGTCTTCTCCAGGAGTTTGGGCGGTTCTGGTTTCGGTCTCCGCCCAGGGTCAGCCGAGGATGCCCCTCGCGAATGCGGGGCAAGGGGCAGAAGGGAGAAGCTATGGGCACAGCTGGGCCAGGATGTGGCAGGCTCGTGGCGAAGCCGCGCAGGGCGGGGGGGGGGGCGGGGGCGGAACTCCTCCATCGCATCCACCTCGTCCGCTCGGGGGCTAACCGTCACCGCGTCCTTCTCCCTCCTCCTCCTCCTCCTCCTCCTTCTCCTCATCTTCTCGGATCCCGTGACTGCTGCAAGAACATGTGGCAGCTGCTCCGTAGCGATGCCCCAAGGCGGCGCCAATTTCCACTGAGGCACCGGGGCGCACATGCCAAGGCGTGCTAGCAGCCAACGCCTGCTCTTTCGGGTGCGCAGCAGGGCCCTGGAGGGGCCTGTCCACCACAGACCCGTTCTGTTTTCCCGTCGGGGTCCTCCTTTTACCGCGCCACGTATTGCGGCCCTGCTCCCCGCTCTGTGAGGCAGGCCCGCGCGGGCCTGCTACCCCGCAGGGCCTGGATGAGTTCTCGTCCGAACTGGTGCGATCTCTCTCTGTCTCTCTCTTTCTCTCTCTCTCTCTCTCCCTGTCTCTCTATCTATCCCTTTCTCGGTCTCTCTCCCTCTCTGTCTCTGTTTCTGCCTCTCTCTCTCTCTCTGTGATTCTCCACATGTTCCCTCCCTCGCCGCGAGGTCCGGCCCTATCTGTGCCCAGGAGGCCCCCCGGACCTCCGACGCCATGACTGTCTTTCTCTTGCCGCCGGGTGTCACCCCAGCTTTCGGCGTCCGGCGACCGTGCTCGGGCCGAGGGGCAGTCACCACGGTGCCCCCGGCGCACGAGGCGAAGAACCCCCCCGGGGGGCGTCGAGGCCTCCATGGGGGCCTGCGCGCGCTCGCTCCGGCACGGTTCTCGTTCCCTCGTTGCCCGCCTCTGACGTCGTGTGCCTCTGACTCGGTGCCCCCGGCGCACGAGACGAAGAACCCCCCCCCTCGGGGGAAGGCGTCGAGGCCTCCATGTGGGGCCTGGCCGCGCTCGCTCTGGGGGAGGGATGGAGGGAGGAGGAGGAGGAGGAGGGGGGAGGAAGAGGGTGAGGACGACGACGACGACGACGCCGTCGACGACGACGGCGTCGACGAGGACGACGCCGCTCGCTCGCTGCCCGCTTCTGCCGTCGTGTGCCTCCGCGCCCTCTGCCTCGGGGCGGCGCGCGCCCTGACGACGACCACACGGCCGCCGCGTCGAGGAGGGCGGCGGGGGCGACGACGACGGCGAGGGCGGCGACGACCACGACGGCCGCGACCACTACGACGACCACCACGACGACGAGGGCGGCGACGAGGACGACGGCCAGGGCGGCGGCCGGGGTGGCCCGCCGCGGAGCTCTGCCGCACCAGGCCATGAAGCTCGGGGACAGGGAGTATGTCCGCGAGGAGCTCGCGGAGGCCGAGGGAGGGGGAGGAGGAGGGAGGAGGGAGGAGGAGGAGGAGGAGGAGGAGGAGGAGGAGGAGGGAGGGAGGGAGGAGGGAGGAGGAGGGAGGAGGGAGGAGGAGGAGGAGGGAGGAGGAGGAGGAGGGAGGAGATTGGAGGAGGAGGAGCAGGAGGAGGAGGAGGAGGAAGGCCGCAAAGGGCCGTCCTGCTGACCGCGTCCCAGAGACGTCCTGGGGGGGGTCTGCATGCATGATCGAATTGTCTTCTCGCCGGGTACATCTGCAAATCTCGGGGAAAGAGAAAGCTGGACGTTTCGAGGGGCTGCCCGGATGGAGGGTGGTCCGTGGCAAGCTCGCGCTCTCGCTTGGGACGCCGATGCGTTTTGTGATCGTGCAGCTTCCAGCTCAAGAGCTCTAACAGTCGCACGTATGAGGCCTTCCAGCAGAGGGCTTCGCCTCTGAGGGATGGAGGGGCGTGTCTTCTTCGGCGGAAGGCGCCGGGGGGCCGGCGTAGGGCGGCGGGGGTAAAACGGGGGTGGTTCCGCCGGTGGAAGCACGCAACAGTAAATATGCGCCCCCTTGTGATGTCATGAGGGGGAGCGCTAGGGGGGCGACAGGCTCGGGGAGAGGCATCGAGCTGGAGTCGGCGATGCATCGCCGATAGGTCGGCGATGCGCCCACGCAGCGGAGCCTTGCGTTCCTGGGCGAGGCGGGCTAGCTCCTGCCCCCTTCTCCCCGATAAAGGGGCGATCGAGGGTCGATGCACCCCCCATTTAAGCCTATCCCAGACGTTGCCTCTGATGTCAGCCTTTCTGGTTTCGGGACTCCTGGGACGAGCCCGGTGGGCTCAAATCTTTCCGCGCGCTGTGAAAACAAATCTCAACGGAGGGCGCCTCGTTGATGTTGGCGGACTCGCTGCCACGATCTGGCGGAGGTGGGTGCTGAAGGGCACCGCGCTCGTCGGTTGCGTTGAGCGCGTGGCTTACTCGGCCCGGGGAGCACTTCACCTGCACAACCGTAGGCGCTTTTTGACATGCGGAGGGCCTTTTTGTTCAGTTTTGAAGATCGGCGTACATTGAGTTTTTGCATGCGTCTTTAGATTTAGATGTCACAATGCCGCCTGCCTGATGCCTACGTTCGGGGGTGCTGGTTTCAACACTTGATGGGGTAGAATGCGAAAAGTATAAAACGGAACAGAAGCAGCCTTTGCGCTTATCGTGACAGTTAAGTGCAATGCGCAACCCGCAACGGGAGTGGCGCCGAGATAAATTCATAGCGGGAGTGAGCACCAAAGGCGCGAAGGTAATCCTGCGATTCCTGTTCCGTGCCGTCTCCATTGCGTCGGTCGGTGCCGTTCAGTGGTTCGTCCTGGTTTTTCAATTGAATTTCTGATCACTTGGTTCGTCTTTGTTTGTTTCAGTCACACGACTTGGTTTCTCTAGAGTGGTTGACGCCGATGTAACCATTACTGGTGCATTTTTATCATAGCGTGTTCTCCGAGGTCGGTCCAAAGTTGTGTGATAGATTGTGCTGCTGTTATTTCCCAATTGCTCTGTTGTATCGGCCAACACGTTTCAACGCGTCTCCTCATGCGTTCGTTGCTCTTCCTCCGCCCTCCAATTTGGGTCAGGGGGAGGAGTAGGAGGGAGGAGGATGAGGCGGAGGAGGCAGGGAGGACAGATACTTATCGAGATGTTGGGACGTTTTGCGTTTTTGAATGGCGTCCTGCGGCGCCCTCGTCGACGCGGGTGTTTCCCCTTCCCTGTCTCCCCGTGGTGTTGGCAATCTCGTGACAGGTGCAGTCTAATGTAGGAGCAGCTGGATACATCTGTCCATGAGTTGTGCAGTGTAGACGCTGCAAAAAAAACGACCTCTTTGGGTTCAGGATGTGCTCCTGATTTTGAGCCATTCCTTGGATCTAGGTCGGAGAATCGCTTCGTGGCCGAAACTCATCGTGCTCAGAACAGCCCCTGCGTTCCTGATTTAGTGTCCCCGATGATAGCACGATGGCTGTATCGTCTGACGTTCTGCTGGCGAGGCATGGCTTTCAGAGCAGACACGTATCGTTGAAATTATGAACGGGTTTGGGGGTCGCCTTTGATGGAAGAGGAGTCAGATGAGGCAGGATGAGCAGGAGCAGGAGGATGCCAAGAAGGATGCCGAGCAGGATAAGCAGGAGGGAACCGGCCGAGGCCAAGAAGATTGAGCATCTGGGCAAGATGGGTTGCTGCAAACGGCTCGTCTACAACATGTGCTCCGCCAGGAAGGTGAAGGAGCCTATGGAGACGGTCGCGCAGCTAGTAGAAGGAAGGAACGGGCGGAGGTGGAGGGGAGGGAGAACGTGAGAGAGGGAGGCTGGGAGGGGGTCCAGACCTCTTGGGGTAAAAATACGACGTCGGAGGTCTGTGTCACCTATTTCACTTGACCCAGACTGCAGGCAGCCAGGGTCGCATCTACACTCTTCCAACAGATCGACGGCGCCAATTGATTGGCTCCTTTCAGTGCTCAACGGCTTCGACGGCTTACGGCACCATCAGAGTGGAAAGCCATCGCTGGGTATTTCAAGCGAGGGCCAACCAACTACAGATCCCTTCTCTCGCGGTTTGCGACGGCAGTTGCAATACACATCAACCCAAACCAACGACACACGGTGGTAGTTTTGGATTGGAGTCTCCGCAAATGAATCGGTGGACACTTCCATAGCGTTTCGCCTGGGGTGCGCTCCCCTCATTACTGGGCCGCCCACCCGCCCGATCGTGCCTGGTCGTTGCCCTCCCACCAGCCTTCGCCTCTCCTACGCACTCTCCTGTGGGACGAAAAGGGGGGGGGGCATCAGGGGGGGGAATAGGGGATGATAGGAACGATGAGGAGGAGGAGGAGGAGGAGGAGGAGGAGGAGGAGGAGGAGGAGGAGGAGGAGGAGGAGGAGGAGGAGGAGGACTGTACAGCCAGATCTGCCCACCCGCCGGCGCACCTCCGGCCCCAACCCCAGAGCGTGGGCGATGGGCGCACGCGGTGGGCCAGCCTGACAGGGCGCGGCCCTCCTGCCCACCGCTTGCGAGGAGTACGAGGAGGAGGAGGAGGAGGAGGAGGAGGAGGAGGAGGAGGAGGAATAGGAGGAGGAGGAGGAGAGGAGGAGGAGGAGGAGGAGGAGGAGGAGGAGGAGGAGGAGGAGGAGTGCCGGGGCCACCACGGCGCCGACCGCCCGTGTCGGTGGCCAGGGGCGGCCGCGGACCGAGCGTGGCCAGCGCACACTCCCGCCCGCGCTGCCGAGTGCCGCAGCCCTCTTTCTTTCCGCCCCCCCCCCGCGGCGAAGGCAGCCGGTGGGCGGGGGAGGGCTGCACCTCGTCGAGGGACCATGGCCCGCATGTTGAGGGTCACGGAGAGAGGGCGGGGAGGGGGGGGGGAGGAGGATGAGGATGAGACTCAGGAGGGAGGATGGGGAGGCGTAGGAGGCGTAGGAGGAGGAGGAGGAGGAGGAGGAGGAGGAGGAGGAGGAGGAGGAGGAGGAGGAGAAGGAGGGAGGGGGAGGAGCAGGGAGGGGGACCAGCGGGCGGTTTCGGATCGCACTTGGCTTCGGCCAACGATTCGACCGCGGATGATGAAGCTGAAGTGACTGCTCACAGCCAGAAAGCGGACCCCCTAACCCTCCCCGAGAAGCTATGAGGACGATGCGGATGACGAGGTGACAGGGGGAGGCGGGGGCGGATGGGGGAGAAGACGGGCAACGACAACGAAGTAATTGGTGGGATCTCTTTGTTTCCCCCAGACAGTTCAAGATACAAGTTCGAATCCCAACTATGTTTGCAGCAGTGTCACCTGGAGCAGGACTGGGAGCCCGTCGAGCCCGCCCACGAGGAACTGTTTGCCCTTGTCCAGGAAGGGGGCCATACATCACAGCAGCCGCACGAGGTGGGTTCTTCGCACTACTTGCAGTGCTGACCCAACCTCCAATCCTCTGCGAGGCCGGGCATGGCCAAAAGGCTTCCCTCGTGACTGCTGCTCCGCGCCAGGAAGCCTGGGCCCCCCGGGGAGCCCGCCGCCGGCGCGAGGTCATGCTGGAGAAGACCATCATCAAGCTCGGCGGCCTGCTGGCGCTCGGCTTCGGCGAGGCGGGCGCCGAGGCGTGTGGCCGCGCCTGCGCCGTCCCTCGCCCGCCGCTCCGGCCCCTGTGGAGGACCCGGGCTCCTGCGCGTCGAGGGCCCAGGGCTCCGGGCTCGCGGCGTGCCTTCCTCCCTGCTCGGCTTCCGGGGCCCGTGCTCGCACCCCGGGGCCCTCGGACAGTTCTGGCGGGCAGAGGGCTATACCCCGCGCCTCTGCCGTCCCTCGCCCGCCGCCGCCCCCACCCCCCTGTGGATTGGCAGCTCAGGGAAAGGGCCCTGAGGGATGGGCCCCGAATCATCAGGGGTAACTCGGGTCAGGGATAACTCGGGTTCGGTTTTCGGGAATCCAAACCCGAGTTACCCCGGACCCGAGTTATCCCTGATAACTCGGGCGTCCAGAGCCCCGAATCATCAGGGGTAACTCGGGTCAGGGCTAACTCGGGTTCCTTTCTCGGGAATCCAAACCCGAGTTACCCCGGACCCGAGTTACCCCGGATAACTCGGGCGCCCAACCTGAGGGATGGGCCCCTGGTGGCAGGAGGAGGTCTCAGGCTGACTTCACGCGGTGTGAAGCCCTTCGTCGTGACGGCCCCATCTCTCAGGGACCTATTTTTGAACCGCCCAGTGGAGGGCCCAGGCCCCCCCGCGTCGCGAACTTGGACCTCAGGCAGATCGACTGGTTTTGTTGATGGTGGCGTCTCCTCGGGCCGACCGCTGACCCCTCGCCTCGCCGTCGTTCCTCATATGCTTCCCCTCAGTCCTGCATCCAAGAACTGCGCTCGGATGCCAGAGACGGACAGGAGCCGCGCACATCGGAGGCGCGCTGGCAATAAGGTGAATCGGATATGATTGGGTGAAGCAGCGAGCGCCAAAAGCAGGGCAACGAAGGAGGAGGAGGAGGAGGGGCAGGACGAGGGGAAGGGCGTGAGGAGGAGCACGGAGGCTTCAACTGCAGCATGGATGCGGCTTTGCTGCGCCCTGCCGCACGACGGCTTCCTGACGCCAGAGTGTGTGCGTGTGCGTGTGCGTGTGCGTGTGCGTGTGCGTGTGCGTGTGCGTGTGCGTGTGCGTGTGCGTGTGCGTGTGCGTGTGCGTGCGTGCGTGCGTGCGTGCGTGCGTGCGTGCGTGTGCGTGCGTGCGTGCGTGCGTGCGTGCGTGCGTGCGTGCGTGCGTGCGTGCGTGCGTGTGTGTGTGTGGGTGTGTGTGCGTGGTGTGTGTGTGTGTGTGCGTGCGTGTGTGTGTGTGTGTGTGTGTGTGTGTGTGTGTGTGTGTGTGTGTGTGTGTGTGTGTGTGTGTGTGTGTGTGTGTGTGTGTGTGTTGTGTGTGCGGGGTGTGTGTGTGTGCGTGTGTGTGTGTGTGTGCTTGCGTGCGCGTGCGTGCGTGCGTGCGTGCGTGTGCGTGCGTGTGTGTGCGTGCGTGTGTGTGTGTGTGTTTGTGTGTGTGCGTTCGTGTGTGTGTGTGTGTCTGTGTGTAGGGCCTCCTGGCTGCCGCCTGCCCTGTGGGACGCCGCGGATGCTGCGTTTCCGAGCAATGGTTTGTGTGCCGCGTTTCTGGCGTCCGCTCGGCCAGTGCAAATGGGATCTCGCCAGGCGAATACGCACCGCCTCACGACGCCGTCGTTTAGGCAGTAATCGGCGGCACGCCAGATTTCTGCACGAAGTGCTTGGCTCTTGCAAATTAGCAGAAGGGTGGCTCTGGTGGCATGGCAATCGCATGAATGCGGTCTGCCTGACATGTTGCGCAGTCATCTCTATTTACATGTACAATGTTGTTTCTCATTTGTCACAGCCCCACGGCGCGGATGCGCTACAGTGTCTAGGACACTACACATGCGTCAAACATTGCGGCCTTCCTTTCCAGCGTGATCGTGACGTACCTATATATCCTGCGCAATCCTTCAAAGCCATTGCACGCCATTCCTATCCTCCGGCACAGAGTAGACCCCCAAGGTAGACCATGCTCTCTTTTCGGGGTATTCTCTGCCCATCTGGCTGTCTCATGTTCGTCTCAGCATATCGGAAGAACTTAAATTCTGTTTCAAATTCGTAATAATACGTATTATTCCCGCACTCTCTTCATGCACTCCGTCAATTGCGAGACGTAAGTTTCATCGGCGTTGGCGAGAAGTGTGTCGTCAGCGTACGTCGCCACAGGAGGCCACACAGGGCCGCGGAGGAGGCCATCCCGCGGGTCTGTCTCGTATCATCCCCTCATTGTCGGTCCCGCGATAGGGATGGAGGGCAATGGAATGGAGGTTGGATGATTAGAGCGAATAGGAGGAGCAGGGGAGGGGGGAGGAGAGGGGAGCAGGGAGGACAGAACATGGAGGAGGGAGGCGGAAAGCATGGGAAACACGTGGTGGACGGTGTTGGTGGGTATGATGATTATGGCGATGGTGATGAGTATCATGACGATGAAGGCGATGACGACGACGATGCATCTAACGATGATGCATATGATGATGTGGATCATGATGACAGTAATGATGAGGATAAGGATGAGGATGATGCGGTGGATGATGATGTTGATGAGGATGATGATGATGATGATGATGATGAAGATGATGATGCTGTTGGTGATGATCAGGCTGATGATGGTCATGGTGGCGGTGATGATGATGGTGGTGGTGATGATAATGATGATGATGATGAGATGATGATGATTACGATGCTGATGCTGATGATGATGCTGCTGCTGGTGATGAGGTGATGTCTGGTCAGCCTCTGCTGAGACCACTGCCCTTCAACGATAGTAGATCGTAACGCACCAGCCGCCCGCACTCCCAGTTTACACTTGATGGCCTTTGGCGAAGACGTGGGGAGCTTGCGCAGGGACTCGATCCAGTAGCCGCTGGGGTGAGGAGATGCGGCATCCGGCGCAAAATCGGACCCTCGCGCCCACGCCTCCGACTTCACGTTAACGTACGCTCTTCTCGCCAGCTTGCGGAACCATGTCGGAGCCCGTGTTATGAGGTCGAGCTCGCTGTGATACAGCACCTTCGGATACCAGCTGCGCCCATGTGAGCAACGGCTCCATCATGGCGATGCAATCTGGCTGCTGACGAGGGGTGGGCTCCAATTGTGATGCCAACCATGTCGATGTTGCAACTGGAGTCTGACCCCACCACGTCCTTCAATCTTGGTCAATCGTAGCCGGTGGCGCACTCACCGCCTGCAGTCCATATTGTATGGCGCACCCAAACCTAGGGCTGGCCACCTTCTTGGCGATGCGCAAGGTACTCCGTAGGCGTCTCAACCTTGGGAGCCTCTTCTTGACTTTCCTGACGCGCTTATGCATAGCCGCGAACTTGATTGGCTGACCTGCTTTGGTTTCCATGCCACTACTATTGAGCGACGTGGCGGCCCTAAACCTGTGCTGGTTCGTGCGCAGTGCCACCATCTTTGCCACCTCATGTTTCGAGCTCAGTACCTTGGCCCTGTACCGTACCTGCGCGATAGGAAACTGGAGGGCCAACGGTACCACCGCCAGGCGGTTGAGCAGCGACACTGCCGTGTCCACGATGGTCGAGATGTGCACCACCACCTGCACCGTGACGTCTTCCGCGTACACGTCAATAGACCTTGGCAGGTGGGGCGTGGATTGCGAAGACATCGAATGGGGTGAGCATCACCATCTGCGGCACATAGATCGTTGTCTTACAACCCGGCAAGTTACTTGGGTCCACCCATACCGCGTACGGCTACGCCATCCCCCACAGTACTCGTCTTGGCGCGAAGTGCATGCGGATGCACATCTTGAGCCCAGGCACTGGGAAAACATGCAGCCTCGCCGCCGCCATGATCTTACACCATGCCGCTCGATCGAAGCACTTGCCTACGTCGATAATGGTGGCGACGATGGTTTCGCCAGCCTGCTTCTCCGCGGCCCCGTCGACCGTGGTGGACTTACCGAAGGCCAAGCGCGGAGAACAGGCCGGTTTGCTCCGACGCTCGCCTGCGGATATGGACCACCCTCGCCTTCGCGTGGATCTTGTACAGGGCCAGGCGATGGGGCTAAAGCCCCCTCCCGCCGCAGGTTTGCCCAATCACATACATGGCCGCTTTCGGCAATCTGCTCCATGCCCCAGTGGCCCAGCTGATGTACACGACCAGGGCCAGCGCCTCTTTCTACAGTAAGATGAAAGAGCGAGGTGAGAGCTCATCCAGACCAGTACCAGTGCGCCATCTGAACGAAGCCGCCGCACGCCTGAGGTCACCAACCGTTGGAACATCCAGCGCCTGATGCGGCAAGCTCCCCAGCATGTCAGCCACGTCGCCGTTCTGGTCGATCAAGTGGTCCACCTCGAACTCCTTGTCGTTCTTCGCCACAGTGGCCTCGGCCTCACACCCATACAAGTCAACAGCTGTAGGCATCTTAGAAGTAGTCTCCTATTTCCATATTTTGTGACAGTGGTCAGTCCGCAATCGTCTGTGGAAGCGAAGACTTGATACCGAATCGACCGACCTCCTGATGCGCGCATCCCTTCAACTGTGTGGTGGCGAACTAAGGGGTAGGGCCTGTGACCACGACGTCCTTGGCCCACGGTGGCATGCTGCTCTGTGAGGTTGGCATGCGCTTGAAGTACCAGGTGGTATGTCACACCGTGATGCCAGGCAGGGTGTATGACAAACCAGGCCCATTCTATTAACACTCGCCAGGAGGAGGAGGAGGTGGAGGGGGGGAGAAGGAGGAGGATGAGAAGGACTGGGCGGGATCAGGAGGATGAAGAGGGTGAGGTCGGGGGGAAGGTGTAGATAGGGGGAGGAGGAGGAGGAGGAGGAGGAGGAGGAGGAGGAGGAGGAGGAGGAGGAGGAGGGAGGAGAAGGAGATGAGGGAGGATGAGGAGGCAGAGGAAGATGAGAAGGAGCAGGAGGAGGAGGAGGAGGAGGAGGAGGAGGAGGAGGAGGAGGAGGAGGAGGAGAGGAGGAGGAGGAGGGGGAACAGCGTGGGGTGGCCAAAGTATCTCTCTGGCGCTGGCAAACGCTGCGCACCGTTATGGGCGGTCCCGTCAGCCCGGGCTGGGCCACGGAGCTTCGTGCCATGGTTCGCCGTAGCATTCGCCAGTCTTCGGGCGCACCCTGCAAGGTCCATCTCGATCCGCTCGGTCCGATTCGGTGTCGATTCTGGCCGGCTCGATCCGACTCGGTTCGCGATGTTCCGACGCTCGGATGCCGCCCGGTGCTCGTATGGCGCTGGTGTGCATGTGGCGCTGGTGTGCACGTGCCGACGCAGCCCGACCCAACGCGCATGCGGGCTGGATTTGGCTCCCCGGTTTGAATCTCGCGGATGCTGCTGCCATGGCTTGGCCGCGCAGCGAGCAGAGAGAAATGAGCGGAGGGGATGCCGACTGCTCGATTGCAGGGGGGTGGGGAGGAGGACGAGGGGGAGGAGGCGAGGGGGTGAGGAGGTGATGAGGGGAGGAGAGGGAATGGGGAGGGCAGCGCCGGGTTGCAGGAGGAGGAGGGGGGAGGAGGGGGAGGAGGGGGGGAGGAGTGAGGAGACGCGCGGTGCGCGGATTCAAAGCGGGGGGCCCCGCTTCACATTGTTCCTCAAGCAGTGTGTTAGTCCAATGTGTGTTTACCCTGCTCAGCTGCACGCCCTCATTACATTGCCTGCGTCGCATAGAGGGGCTTCGGTGGACAAGCAGACGATGGCGCTAACGCACGTTCTGAGAGTTATCGACGCAGGAGGGTCGGGAGAGATCAGAGAAAAACACGGGGGGAAATGCCGACTGTTCGGCTGCAGGACTGCGCACCCCCGTTCTGCAACCGGCCTTGGCAGGTCATCGGGCAGAACATCAAAGGTGGCTCGTCGCACAGCTCGTTTGTCAACGCCATGGTCCCCGGGCAGAAGGCTCTGGGCCTCCCAAGCGGGGGCGTCAAAGATCGAGGAGACACAGATCTCCGAAGACATGTGATTCGTCTGTCTCTCAGTCTAGGTGTGTTTATTCGGGCTCTTGCTTTTGACAGGGGGGGAGGGGCGCTTCTGACAGGGGAGGTCAAGCGGAGGGGTACTCAGGGGGAGACCCTCTCCCTGGCTGTATCTCCCGTAGCGCCGTCGCCGCCGTTGTCGTCGTCAACGTCGTGTACGTTCGTCGTCGCCGTTGTCGTCGTCGTCGTCGTCGTCGGTGTCGTAGTCTTCGCCGGTCTTTGCGTTGCCCCCTCCCCCCCTGGGCGGCATCCGTGGTTCGTCGTCGTTGTCGCCCCGACCCGCTCCTTCTGGCGAGCGCACATCAGGACATCTGTGCTGATTCGGGGCGGCGACCAACCCTCGGGGCCGCCGCCAACTTCGGGAAAGCCCTTCGCCATTCACCCACGTGCGGTTTTTTTCTCGAACCCACCCTCGGGGGCCGCCGCCAGCTTTCGGGAAGCCCTTCCCCCTGTCAACCGTTCGAGTTCGTTGTTGGATCCCCCCCCCTTGCCAACGTGGTGCGGGGAAGGAATCTGGGCAGCGACGCCGGGAAAAGGCTCCAGCATGTGTCTTAACGGGGTGGCACATTGAATTCGGCCCGTTTGTGAGGACCCAGACTTGCTGGGAATGCGGTTGGTACAATAGCCCACTTCCCCAGCACAACACGTGTTTGACAACATGGTTTTTCAAATAACAAGTATGTGCGCGCTTTTGTTCAGCATTCTTTTTTGAACATTTGGAGTTTCGTTCCAGCATTTCTGGGCCACGCGCGCGCGCACGTCGAAATCATTCGAACGCCCCTGCGCGCATACTGGGGTGGGCACGGCTCCTGTGAAATACTGGAATTCGGGCCGCTCGCGCACGTTTGCCGCGTGCGATCGAAATCTTTTCAACACCATCACCGACGCGTTGACACCATTCTTCATCGGCGCGGTCATCATCGGCGCCGTTATTGGCCTCGCCACCGTCACTGCCATCATCGTCGCCAGCACCGCTACAATCATCATCTCGTCTGCTGTTGTCGACGACGTCGCCATAATGCCCGCCCGGGCTACCGACTGTCACTGAATGCCCGCGCGTCAGTGTTGCCTGCGAAACGATCTAGGAAGTGCCAAGCGGTCAGCGCCACCGCGGCCGCATCGGTCGCGCCACACTCGCTGCCCGCTGTGCGCGCGAAAGCTTGCGCGCGTCAACGCGGCCGCAATGTTGGGCTGGCCAGCGCCAGGCAGTCATCGCCATCGCCGCCGCAGGGGGTTTAGAAACCAAGTTGCAGGTGGGTGGGTGGGGGTGGTTGCGCGAAGTAGAGTTGACAACTGCAAGTTTGACAGGGTGAGCTGCCACATAGACTACACCACATATATTCGTGCCACGCTGATTGCAGTACATATATTGCACCACGTATATTGCACATCGTACATGGCACACCCAATGATGCATCACATAAAAGGCACCATAAAGATTGCACCAGAAAACGAGCCCCGCATAGAGTGCACCGGATCGATGGCTCCACATGGGTGCAGGCGTCGGACAAATAGCGAATATTCATACCACATTCATCTGTCAGCGCGCCCCCCCTTCCAATGTTCAAAGTTGGCGGTGGGTCTGATGAGTTGCACCCCGACCGCAGTTTTCCCCAGCGCGTGCCGACTTTGAGTTTAGGGGGGAGGGGGAGTGTTCAGCAATTGTTTCCCTTTGCCGTGTCACCGAATCGTTTGCTAGACGCGCGTCGTTTTGCGTCCGCGCTGGTTTACGTGTGTTGTATGGTGCTAGCCATTGCGAACATCAAACAATTTGTTTTCAGCAGTTTATGCTATGCAATCTACGTGGCGCGATATGTACGGTGCAATTAATGTGGGGCTACAGGTGTGGTTCAATCTATGTGGCACAGTGCTGTGCAACCTAAATTTTGCAATCTATTTCGTGCGATCTATCTGGTGCAACCCCTGCGGTGCAATTTGCCCGGCCGAAATTGATGTCAGCTCCAACGCCCGCGCAATCATCCCACCCGCCCTCCCGCAGCCTGGCTTGCAGAATCCATGTTGCGGCGATCGCGATGACTGTCCCGCGCTGGCTGGCACATCGCTGCGGCCGCGCTAGCGCGCGAAGTGTCGCGCGCACAGCGGGCACCGAGTGTGGCGCGACCGACGCGGCCGCGGTGGCGCTGATTGCTGGGCATTCCCTAGCGCGTCTCACAGGACGCGCTGACGCGCGGGAATTTCAGTGCGAGTCGGTGGCTCGGGCGTGCGGGGTTTCATTGCCGCGTCGGCACTTGCAGACGCCACGATGCCATTGGCGATGTTGGCGACGATGATGACAATGACCAAGGCAAGGGTAATGACGGTGCCGATGCTGATTACGCCGATGACGATATTGGCGCCCGCGCGTCGGCGATGAAGGTTTTGGGGTGAGTTCGGCATGCCCGCGCTGCCGACGCGGGCGAGCGGCCCCCATGGCACGGTTAGACGGGGATCGCGCCGCCCCAGCGCGCGCGCAAGGGTGGGCGAAGGATTTCTACATGCGCGCGCGAGCGGCCCGTCTGGCCGCGTGGGATGACCACGTTGAAAACCGCTGGCCCCCCAAAGGATTCGCAAGAGCGGGCGCATATTTTGTTGGAACACATCTGTTTGATAAAAGCGTGTGTTTGCAAATGTGTTCGGGGCGGTCCATCTTGCAACATTTGGGAACGCGCAAGGATTCCGATGGGCTTCGGCGTGCGAGCGCGACGCCCCACGCGCGCGGGCCGAGTCCCATTTTTGTTTGCACCATGGGGTTTTCAACGCTAAGTGATTTGTTTGAAAGTGGTGCGCGCGATGCTATTTGACGAAGGGGAGGGGTCCGGGGGGGCAGATGCCGGCCTTGGCCGGGAAGACATGGATTCATATTCGAAGCGAAAGTTGGGGCAGAATCGCATGGAATTTGCACATCCCCGGGGTGGGCCGACAAGGCGGGGGGGGGGGGTGCTAGATCCTTGTTTGGGGGCGAGAGTCTGCCAAGTGCAATCTATGCGGCGCAATCCACGCGGCGCGCGCTATTCGGCGCAATGCATGGGGCGCGCCTTCTGTTATGCCGACTACGTGGCACGATCTATGCGACGCGGCAAACTTCTCTACGCAGTGAGTTGTCATCTCCGCTGCTCGCGCAATCGGCCCGCCCGCCCGCCCGCGACTTGGTTTGCGTGAACCGCTGCGGCGATTGCGATGGGCGCTCGTCGTTGGCTGGTGCTCCGCTGCGGCCGCGCTAGCCCGCGCATTCGCGCGCGCGGCAGCCAGCTCGTTGGCGCGACCGACGCGGTCGCGGCGGCGCTGACCGCCGGGCGCGTCCCAGCGGGGATTCCAGCGCGAGCCGGCGGCTTGGACGGGCGCGAAATCGCGGCGACGTCGACGGCTGTGAACGCGAGGATGATAGTGGCGATGCTGGTGGCGACGATGACGACGACGACGGCAGGGACGGAGACTTCGCCGACGCCGATCGCGCTGGCGGCGATGACGGCGCCCTCGCGTCTGCGATGAAGGTCTTGGAGGGCGTTCGACTTGCGCGCGCCGCCGACGCGCGAGTGGCCCGCGCGGCGTTGCGCGACGCGGATCGCGGCCCCTCCCCCGGCGCGCGCGAGGGCGCTCGAATGATTTCGACGCGCGGTGCGACAGGCCCGCGCGGCAGAGTGGCGTTTAAATGTTGATGGACTGATGGTTTTTGGAACTTCGCAAAGGCGCGAGCGAGACCGCATTTGTTTCCACTGTTTCCGAGGCGCTCGATTCTGATCTCCCGGCGAAGCCAGTGTTTGTTTCGCAGATTTCGGCGCGGGCGCGACGCCGCGCGCGCGCTTCGCCCGCCGTTCGCAGGGGGTTCTCGCGGCAGCGCGCGCGCCGGGGCGCTCGTTGAACATTCGAGGTTTTATATATATATATATATATATAAAAACACGCGTTTCTGATGCGTTCTCGGAGCGCCCGGTTGGGAAATCCTCGCGAAGACAAGAAGGTGTCCGACAGTTTTTGGCGCTCGCGCGCGACGACGCGCGCGCGCACTTCGTCTCGTTCTCTGACTGCCCAGGGGATTCGTGGAAACGGATATCTCGCGACGAACGAGTGTGCGCGCAGAGTGTTCTTTTCCTTCCAGAAGACGAGTGGCGGTGGCGGTGGCTGTGCAGGGGGGGCGCGGCGCTGGCTGCTTGGTGGCGCGCGTTCAAATTTGGGGTGGGCGATTTGTCGTAATCAAACGTGGACTGCAGCACGTCAGGGGGCGCTGTTAATTCCGAAGAGGGGGGGGGGGGGCGTAAATCGTATCATCGTCTAGAGAGGGGAATCTGCGTTACGTGATCTACGCCGCGCAATCTTCATTTTCGCGGTGCGCTCTGTTTGGTGCGGCGCCGTGCATGCGGGTCAATATTCGGGGCGTTATTTACTCGGTGCAATTGGTTTCTGTTCGCTGCATGTTGCCCGCTCCATCGCTCGCGCAAATGTCCCGCCCGCCCGCCCGCAATTTGGCTTGCAGCGCGCATGCGGCGGCAATTGTGATCGACGAGTGCTCGGCGTTGGCCGGCGCATCTCCGCGGCCGCGCCAGCCCGCGCGCGCGCGCAGCGGCCAGCTAGTTTGGCGCGACCGATGCGGCCGCGGTGGCGCTGACCGCTGCCCGCGCCCCAGCGGGCGCTTCATTGCGAGTCGGCGACTTGGGCGGCCGCGGCATCGCGGCAACGTCGACGCCGGTAGACGGGGCGATGATAGTTGCGACGATGGCGACAGCGACGACGGCGCGGCCAGCGACGGCGCTGATGCCGTTCACGCCGACGACGGTGGCGGCGCCCTCGCGTCGGCGATGGAGGTTTTGGACGGAGTTCGACACGCGGGCGCGGCCAGCGCGCGAGAGCGTCCGCGTGGTATTAATTGGCGCGAATCGCGCCCCCCTCCCCCAGCACGCGCGCAAAGGCGTTCAAGCGATTTGGGCA